CTACAAGTAATGAGCCTAGCTAAGAGCTGTTAATTTCCAACATTGGAAATTCGGAGGATCGAAGACACATTTCCTTAAAGAAAAAAATGAATAAAAAATAAATAAGTTTATGGCCACAAGCTTAATAAGTTAATGATAGTGTTAATTACAATCAACACTAAAACCCATAGATTACTGACATTTTTAAACGAACCAAATGTCCTTATATAAGCTTCTTACGCTGATTTAAGTTTTAACAAATTAATGTTAACATACTTTACCGACACGATTCTTTCTACGAATCAACTCAAGAAAAATATTTTCTCAGATTTAATGAAATATATGATATCTAATATTTAAATAGTCCATATATTGAAAAATGGATGTGAGAGAGAGCAAAATATTTTTCAAAAATGTGTTCTAGTCTCAAGGGACTCTAAAACTGATAAAATCACCTATACTTTTCGCTAGATCAATGAAAGACATGTCTCAAATCATTATTTTAAAGGAAAAAAAAAATCAGGCTCCTTATTGTTGCTGTATAGCATACAACTAAAATGGTAGATAAGTAAGACCAAATTTCTAAACTTGCTCGATAAATATGAAAGCACTAAATTGAACATACAAAAATAATATAAATGATTTTTCTCATTCGTAAGCAAACACCAAGTTTGAAGTAACGTGAACCAAGATTTTAGAAAAATGTTAGGAATATTTCGATGTAATTGTAAATATATTAAAATGATCTTCGTGAAATTATTAATACGTTATTATTGTGACTGAGAAAACATAATGTGTTCTGATCATATGCTGACTAGAGACATAATATTTTGTCTCTATATGTGTTTTGTATATAGCTTGTTTAACTAATATTTTCTTTACTTTCTCTTTTTTTATTATTGTTTATTTTGGCCAGATGTAGTATTTTAATTATGTTCTATTTTGTTATTCTAAAGGAACTTTGTCCCAGAATAAAGTTATTTTCTATTCTATTCTATTAAAATATTTTTATATATTTATTAATAGCGGAAATTACTCTGGAAGAAAACGTCTAAATGAAATGTTGTTTAAATGATTCATTGAGGCAAAAAAAAAAAAAAAAAAATGCTTTTACTGATACATTTCTTATTTTTTTTCATGATACGAGTTTACATTTCGTAGCCGAATATGCATTGTAATTTACAAAGAGAGTATATTATGATTGTTTAAGTATTAAGCTTATATCAAAAAAAAAAAGAACCTGTATCAATATACAACCTGTAACACATATGAGTCATAGATTCATTACTTTTTAGGGAAAGTAATGTTTCAAGGCCAACAGTTGTGGCAGGAGACCGGACCAGGATCACACTCTACAGGCAGGTTTTGCTCCTTAATTAATTATTTAAGTAAGGGTACCCACTTTTTAGAGTCTGGGTGTGCCCCAGGAGGTCCCTCCCTCCCCCATCCCTACGGCCGCTATAGGGTCGCCCCACGACCAATGAAACAGAATAAATAATTTTTCTGCCATGAGCCGGTTTTCGAACCTGGGACCTTCAGCATTGGAAGCTTAGTGTCCTATCATTGAGCTATCCTGCACCCTATTTAGTATACCTTTAGATAAGATAGAAATATCGGTGAAGCACTTCCCTCCTCCAGAGATCCATGAAGATATTGATGTCAGTTTAGCAAGCATTGTTTCTATCGCCGTATTTCTGTCTTGCGACATTAGCCACCAACTTTACTCGTTCTAATCAGAATAACGGGATGATGGTACCAGCATCATGAACGAAACAATTCACCCACATAGACAAGGAGAAGCCGAACAAACCATGGACCTTGCACAATCCAAGGCCTTGTTAAATTCAGGTAATGGTGAGGTTCCTCCTAATGCCCCTGTGGCAAGTGATCTTTATAAAGCCATTACCTCCACATGGCCATTATGGGGGTACATACGGTAGTTTCACAATGGCTACTGTGTATTGAAGCGGTTACAGGCTGAAACAGTCGTTCGTTTTCGAAAAGTTTCAAAATGCGATTTACCGCCGGCTTTGCAATCCTTTTGTAATTGGCTTATACGACACAGGGGATTCCATAAAGGAAGGCCTTCATATGATCTTTTCTTCGAGAAGAGAAGGGTAGAAAGAGCAGTTTGAAAATAAATTCATTTTTAAATTCTAAAATATACCTTAAAATATGGTAGTTTCGCTTCAATTGTTCTTTTTTGCAGTGGAAGGAATAAGCTTTAATAAATGAGAGAAACAATTATTAGATAGAATTGTGAGATTAAACAATAAAACCTTAATCTTCTTAAATAGCATTAAATAATTAACAAATCAAAATTTGGCCAAGGAGGAGGCATCCGGACATAAAAAGATGTGATCAAAAAATGAAGATGAATACTCTACACACCCCAAGGATTTTGATTCATGTATTTTACCGACGACCAGTTTAATGACATTTTCTATCTATATCACGAACTTATTTCTGGGAGTTTTCTAGAGTAATTAGTATATTTTTTTTTAATTTGCTTTGTTGAATACAGGTACCTATGGATAAGAAAAAATCCAAGAATATCTTAACGAAAATACAAACATTTCCTAAGTATATGATGGGATTTGTTAGAGTAATTTGTTGCCTTACTGGATCTTTTATTTATTCATTGATGTGAGGTGTACATATTGTCGTTGATTTGCATTTTTGCTATCTTGTTCTTTTTCTATCTCGATGTTGCCTGAATTGATGCCATTTTATATGGTTAGATATTAATTGTTATTTGATTATTAACTTGAGACCTCGTATTCGGAATCTTTAATCATATTCTAATAAATTTTTGAAATTTCCTATTATGTTACAACACTTTAATTTAAAACGTTTTTTCTTCCGTCTAATCCAATAAATGTATGCGTTTTTCATCATTGTACATTTTCTTCCATTATTGTAGATCTTAATTATTTATTTAATAATAAGGGTGCCACGAAAAGGTTTTTAGTTAAACAAGGTGCCGCACAAAAATGTTCTATACAAAGCCTGTTAAAGACGAAAAAAGATTCATGAAGGAATTCTTCTATTTTTGGAAATCACGTTAGTTTCACCAGGGCTGAAGTGATAAGAGGCATTTAATCCATATTTATGCGATCAAGAGATACAATATTCTGTGAGGTAGGGATAGTACAGTAATGAGGGAATACCATACATCAACAGAAAAATCGATTTAGGGAATTAAAAGGCAATAAATACACGATAACATTATTAACCGATTGAAAAACGGATAGAAACTAGGACTTTAAGATTAAACGAAACTTATATTATTAGTTGTTGGTGTGATCTGTTAAAGTGGAAATTCGAAGACGCAAGTAGTTCAAGGAAACCCCAATTAACATTTTTATTGTTGATTGCATTCCAACCCTGTTTATTATACATTTTTATGTTAATAACTTGATAGGTAATAAAACAACAAAACATAAGTATTAACAATATAGGGGTTTTATTAAATTAATAATTTTTATTAGGCCATGCCAAGGCTACGGTCTGGCGTACAAGATTTCATTTTGTAACTTGTGAATTAAAATAAAAATATAGTATAGATATCATAAATATATTAAATATTTGTATTATATAAGCATAAATAATAATTTAATATATTTGTGAAATATTATTGTCTCGTGCATTATAAAAGGTTTCTATTGGATTTTAGTGGTAAATTTAATATCTGATGGGCTTACTAACAAGTTCAATTCCGAGATATACCAGCGCAAAAAGGAAGCGATAGATGTGTCATAATCATAAATTATTTTATTTATCCAAAATAAAATTATAAAAAATAAATTATTTATTTATTTATTCCAAAAATCATATTTTATACAGTGTGTTTAAGGGATATTTGGCCAAACTGAAAATATGAATTAAGGACCTCAAAACCAAAAATAAATTTCCTCTGAAGGTATGTCCGCAAAAGCTTTGTTTAGGAGATATTCACACCAAAAGATTTTCGTTGTTATGAATTATCTACGTTATATTAAGTAAATAAAACTTATTAATTTGTTCCAACTTAATTAATTAAACGTTAAGATTAAATTCATATTAAATGTTGTTCAAAGTGATTTCTCTGAGCATTAAGACAGACTCGCTATCTTTCTTCAACAGGAGCAGTGGTAGAACGGCACTGGATATGTGTTATTGTTTCACAAGATTGCATTATCTTTCATCGTAAGGAATTAAGGTCATTGACCGGACTTGCATAGACTTTTTGTTTAATGTCTCCCCGAACAAAAAAATCCGTGTACAAACACCATATCTCCGTATTCACCATTAGTATAAATGGAAGACAATATGATGAGTACTCTGCGAAAGCCTCTTACAAACTGATAAATGTTATTGAGAGTTCTCAATGCTAATTCCAAATAGTATTAATCCTTATGTTGCCTTATAGTTTTTATACAGTTAGGGATAAAAGGTCATATGAGTATCCATCTCCAAAACAAGATGGATACCTTCACGGTTTGCGGAGATACCTTCACTTTGAACAACATTTAATATGAATGTTAATGTTTACATTTAATTAATAAAGTAATTAGAACAAATAAATAGGTTTTATATAATAATTTTAATAATAATCATAAATAATTTATAACAACGAAAATCTTTAGTTGTGAATATCTCCTCATCAAAGCGTTTGCGGACATACCTTCAGAGGAATTTTTTTCTTGTTTTTAGGTCCTTAGATCATTTTCGCAGTTTGGCCACTTAACCCTGAAACACTGTATATTGTAAAAGGACTATGCAATTAATTTGTCTTTTTTTATTCTGTTTATTAGACACACATTGTGTGGCACATTTATATAATTTCTGTCAGAATGATGCATGAAGTGATGAAACTTTGTAATTTTCTAATGATATTCTAACTATTATTTATGTCTTTTTTTGGAGTTTTTAGTTTCTTAGATTTCCATTAGAGTGTAAGCAACATATCCATAGCCGATATATCTCCAAAATATCAGGAAAATGTACATTCAAGTATACAAAAGAACAATTGGCCTTACCTCTTTTCTCACTCCTGGAAATATGATGAGAAAGGCGACATAGAGGGTAACGAAAACGAAACAGGCTGCTATTGAAGGCACATCCCCCGTCACCGAGGTCCTGTTGGGCACCGAGTACAGAGTTGGTCCGGTGGGTTCTCCATTCCACCAGCCCATAGCTCAGGATCTGCAACCGTATCCATAAATATAAATCAGTTTATTTATAACAATAAATAGTTTATTTATAACAATAAATTTGAATAACTATAAATTAATTATTGATAAAATAAAATCTAACAAGATTATTGTATGATATAGAAAAGAAAAAAAAAATTCAGTGGCGAAAGCACCGACTTAAATATTACATGACAAAAAGTAGAAGTTAATTAGAAAAGAATATTAAATTATAAGTTGGTCCCTTCCGCAACAGAACAAACATATATGTTTATCCTTTTAAATTATTGTTGTATTATACTCGATTATGTGTATTTAAGATGATTCGAGAAATATAGAAAAAACAGAGAAGTAATGAAGTATTGATTATTAGTATAGTATTCTACTGTATTGTGTTATATTACGTTGTATCCAATGTACTTACATCATTTAATTCCTAAGTGAACGCTAATCATTATAGACAATTTTTCAATTAACACGGAAAACAACATTTTCGATTCCAATTTGTAATATTTTAAAAATTATTTTTTTTTTAAATAATAAATTATGAATTCCTTTATTTGCAGCACATAATTTCTAAAATTTCTAATTAGTTCAATAGCAATTAAAAAAATATTGAAACTTAAATATGGTCTCTTTTGGAGATAATTGAATTTCCTGAGCCATTTTCGAACAATAAAAATGTTGATTGAAGTTTGGCTTGGTTAAAAAACAAAAACGGTTACGAAAAATGTTGATAGTTAATTTTTTTAATAATACATAAGAAATGCAGGTTTCGATACATTCCTGAAAAAAAAGTTTTCAGAAATATATTTATTTTCTCACTACATTATTTATTATTTAGGTTCGTTTTTGGAAACAAATATAATTGCAGCATAAGATTGATTAAGTGTTTTTACAAGAGAATCAATATTTATTTCAATTTCCATGGACTTTATAATACTTGATATAATACAAATAATATGGTGTATTATAATATAATGCAAATGATTATATTCAATCTGGAAGTGATTATACTCTTTTCTTACTAGTCATTTCTAATATTGTTATTCATATATTCCAATCGTTCCATCATATCTATACTTATATTAATATATATATATATATATATATATATATATATATATATATATATATATATATATATATATATATATATATATATATATATATATATATATATATATAAGATAAAGACCGGAGACTGGCGATATCAGCCTTAATACCATCTTGTAATGTAAATAAACATAGCGATTGTATATAAGGCAGATTACTGGACGAATAAAGCAGTGTTTATTCAGAAGCCGTGAGTATTGTTTCTCGTTCCTCTTTCCTTCTTTTTTTTTATTTTTAAAGCCCGGAGACGCTTAACTGGTGCCGAAACCCGGGAGAACGTCAGGAGAACACGGAAGTAAAATTTTTTTTTCTGTCTTTATTTTAATTTTTTTTTCTCTCTTCTCCTAGTCATAAGGAAAAGACGAGATGCCGACAGAGGGCATAATTCGACCAGGAGTGTTGAACGCACCTGAAATGCCGCAACCTCAGGAAATGCCGATAGCGCAGATTCCTCAGATCGCCCCTCAGGTTCCGCAGATTCCGCAGATACCTCAGATACCTCAAGTACCGCAGATACAAGAGATCCCTCCCTTACCTAGGGACACATTGGCAGAGGCGCATGCCAATGCATTGGAGTGGATGAAGATAAGGGCAGCGACCACGCAGGATCTACGGAGAGCAATCGCAGACCTGGAGCGATTCGGGGGCGAGATAGGTGAACTTAATCACTTCCTGAAAGGCGGAGACCGCCTCATATCAAGAATCGAAGCAAAGGTGGCGGAGGACCTCGTGAACCTGGGAGACGCAGAAGCACTGAAGGCAGCTCTCGTGTGCCGAGTGAGGAGGAACATCCTCAACCAAATCCAAGCGGACGAGGAGACACCATGGCCAGTGATTAAGGAGCGTTTGAAGAAGGCTTTCGGAGGGGGCCGATGGACGCCGGAAGAAGATATCTTCCAAATGTTTAGGGAGTGTCGGTCCCAACGCCAAACAAGAGGACAGTATGCGGGGGTACTAGTGGCGAAGTACAACCGCATAACTGAGAAAATGCGTGAAACCATGAGTGTGGGAGAGGTCGAGGCTAGGATGGAATTCCTTTCGACAATACTCAAGGTTCAGTTGGCTAAGGAGACTGGGAGAAGGGACGGACTGCCTAGAGAGCGATCGTTCCTCGAGTGTGCCCAAGAAATGATAGATCTGAGTGCAAGAGAGGAAGAGACGCGGATGGAAGTAGAAGAACCAGGGTGGACCCGAGTGAGTGACAGACGACCCCGGACAGCCCAGATAGGGTGGAGGAAGAGGGAAATGAAACACCCGAACGGAGAAAAAGCCACGACGGGCGAGAGAAGATCCGGACAGTCCAGGCCTAGGAATGGACCCCGGAGGGAAGACCGAAAATGTCACGGGTGCGGGAAACCGGGACATTTGGTAGCACAATGTCCGCGCACTAGATGTTTCGAGTGCGGGACTGAAGGGCATATTGCCAGACAGTGCCCGTACATGTTTCGCAGGAGAGAGAGACCTCTAGACGAGCCAATGGAGGTGAACGCTCAAAAGTTGAAAAAACGAGCTAGGATGCAGCAGAGAGACGGATCTTCGGAAGAGGCAACCGAGGAGTCGGGGACGTCGGGAACGGAGACTGACGAGCCAGCCAGCAGTGGAGGCGAAGGAGGCAGGAGCAGCCAACGGAGCGAGCAACGACGAGCGACGGCGGTAAGGAGGAAGCGAGGTGGCATCTGAGAAGGGTGTCAGCAGAGAGGCGACCGCACAGCAACCTGCAACAATATTAGAGGTAAGCCATGCTGGTTGCCGATTATTGAAGTAGATGGGGGAGTGAAGTGTCTCGTGGACACAGGGAGCTCGAGTACTATCTTGACTCGGGGGGCGTTGGGGAGAGTGTGCGGGAGCGAGAGGGTACTCCGGATACAAAACTGTGGCTGCCAGCTAATCACTCTGGGTGGTCCCTGTAAAGTAGAAGGGGAAGCGTCAATTACGCTTGACCGGTGGGCAGGGAAAAAGGGGGAGCTAAGGGTGCATGTGGTAGAGAGCATGGCGCGGGAGTACCAAGTCATAATAGGGTGTGATCTGTTAGGACAGGTAGGGGTAAGCATTAGAAACCGTAGAGGAGCTTGGAGTATCAGGCTGGGAAAGAGGAAATTTGGATGTATAGGGGTCGCGAGAGAAAGAAGGGTGCGGATAGGAGCGGTGAACAGGGTGGAGGACTGGAGAAAGGCGTTACAAGCGGAGTTCGTAGATATTTTCTTCAGGGAGGGCGAGGTATTGGGGGTAACAGGGAAGACGGTACACGAAGTTCCACTGAAGCAAGATAGGGTGACCTACGTAAAGGAAAGGAGATACCCGCAGGCGATGAGGCAGCATATTCGGGAGGAATTGGAAAGCCTGAAGGAGCAAGGGATCATAGTCGATAGCACCTCGCCATTTAATAGTCCCCTGTGGGCAGTGAAAAAGAAGGCAGCGCCGGGGGATAATAAGGAAAAATACAGAGTGGTAGTGGACTATCGTAGGTTGAACGACAACACGGTAGACGAAAAGTACCCGATCCCTAGATTCGAAGATATACTTGATAGGTTGAGTGGGGCCGTGGTGTTTAGCACGTTGGACCTCAAGGCGGGATACCACCAAATACGGATGCACCCGAAGGACCAACATAAGACGGCGTTTACATTCGAAAGGGGGCATTACGAATTCACCAGAATGCCGTTTGGTCTGAAGAATGCGCCCATAACGTTTCAACGCCTGATGGACGAATTTCTGAGGGGGATCGACGACTCCGTATGTCAAGTATACATGGACGACCTGCTGATTTTTAGCAGAACGGAAGCCGAACACGTGGGGCATTTGAGGTCGGTATTCGAAAGGCTGCGACAATTCGGGCTGAAACTGTCAAGTGAGAAGTCCCTGTTGGGACAAACGCGAATCAATTTTTTAGGCCACACTATTTCTAGCGAGGGGGTCAGACCGGATGCGGCAAAGGTGGAGGCTATCACACGAATGGCGGTGCCACGGGACGTTAAAGGGATTCGTAGGCTTCTCGGGACGCTGAATTATTATAGGAGATTCGTACCTGAGATGGCAGAATACTTGGTACCTATCAATAACTTGCTGAAGAAAGGCGCGAGGATCGTGGTGACACCGGAAATGGAAAATAATATTCGGAAATGCATGGATAGGTTGCAGGCAGAACCCGTATTGGCGTTCCCGGATTTTGAGAAGCAGTTCAATGTCACCACCGATGCGAGCGAATACGCGTTGGGGGCCGTTTTATCCCAGGGCAGAAGTGAGGGTGAACGTCCGATAGCATACGCGAGCCGACGACTTACGAGCGCGGAATCACGGTACAGCGCGTTAGAGAGGGAGCTACTCGCGATAGTGTGGGCCATCGACCATTTCAGGCCATATATATTTGGGAGGAAGTTTCGAGTCCACACCGATCACAAACCCCTTCAGTGGGTAGGAAAACTTAAGGAAACCTCTGCGAGGGTCACGAGATGGAAAGAATTCCTTAGTCAGTACAACATGGAGGTGGTGTATAAGCCGGGAAAGGAAAACGTGGTGGCAGACTGGCTCTCTAGGGCCGTCATGATCAACGCGGTAGAAGAGGACGGAGGAGGTCCATCGCGGGACGTGCGCCAATTCTTGAGGGAATGGACTCCTGAGGGTGAAGGGGCAGATGATACCGTCAGTATAGAGGACAGGGAGGAGTCCCCGGAAGAAGATAGCTCAGCGGAGGAAAGACCAGAGGCGATGGAGGAAATAGACGAAATCATCAACGACAAGCATAGACAGGTAATCTGGAAAACCAGGACAACAGGGATCATGAAAATAGATTACCGAAGATACGGGAAAAGTAGGATTCGCGTCATTTGGTCGCAACCCGGGGTGAGCGAGGAGCAAATCCGTACGGCACTGAAGGACGCCACGGAACCGGGAAAGACA